AGTATCATGTCATCTGCAAACAGTGACACCTTTACTTCTTCTTTTCCGATTTGGATTCCTTTTATTTCCTTTTTTTCTCTGATTGCTGTGGCTAAAACTTCCAAAACTTTGTTGAATAAGAGTGGTGAGAGTGGGCAACCTTGTCTTGTTCCTGATCTTAGTGGAAATGGTTTCAGTTTTTCACCATCGAGGACGACGTTGGCTGTGGGTTTGTCATATATGACCTTTATTATGTTGAGGAAAATTCCCTCTAATTCCCCAGATCATACTGCCTACTACTTTTCTAGTCAGGCAGTCAGCTGTTATTTATTGAGAATCTGTATGTGAAACAATGATCTGAGCATTTATCAAATTAAATTATTTTCATCACGTCACTAATGCTTGAGAAGATGCATTGGCTCCCAACTTTACCACATCACATTTAAATTCATTGGCCTAACTTTAAAGATTCTCCTTAATATCCCAGGTGTTTGCCTTTCCTATTTTGTGTTTCATCTGCCTTTTGCATCAAGCAATTCTTTGACTTCTCATTTCTTTCAGCATGTATTCTGTTCATTCTAGTCTCTCATTTGAAGTGCTCTTTTTTCTAACTATACCCCATAAATACAAGTACCTAAAAATCTGTCTCCAAGGTGCAGTCTCCTGTCTGTAAATAAATACTAACATTGAAATTAAAAGTTGTTTTCTTTTTTTTAATTGTGCAGAGTAGTGAATGCCTGCATCATTTCTAAAGTAGTTATGTGAGTTCCTTACCTCACCAACCAGATGGTAAAGTTTTGAAGATAGGGGCCATACTTTTGTTATTCAATACAGTCTTGAATACAATGGCTCCTCAATGAATAGTCATGCAATAAACATTATCTCCGATGTGCTAAATTCTGTGGCAAGGACACGGTGGAAGAGCTTTTCCCAGTTACTTGATACTTTCAAAATTTAAACAAGAAAATAAAAAGAATATAAATTTTTTGGTTCATGAGTTGGAGTTGGTGATGGTAGGAAGGAAGGGTCACAGTTGGGAAAATGTGATACACTGGATGGAATTTCTATTGCAGGTAAATCATAGGATCCATGTTAGGAGCAGACTCCTAATTAGCCTTCTTATTATTAAAAGATGTTGTGTGTATTTGAAGGGTTTGTCGGGAGAGGATGAAAGCATCTTCGAGTTTCATGATACTGTGATGAAAATAAGTGGGAAAAAATTGGAAACTGCAAAGAGCTTATTAAGAATTTTTTAACACTCTTATTCATATACTATCTATGTTACAGGCATAGCATTTATTTCGTGTTGACAGTTGCTAGGCAGAAAAGTTAATGTTTTCACTCATCTGTTTTTCTGTTTTTGTTTATCTAGATTAAAAAAATGTTTTTTCTTCCTTATGTTACAGTCTTGGCCCTTTAGTGAGTAAAGTGAAAGAATACCAAGTAGAGACAATTGTAGATACCCTCTGCACTAACATGCTTTCTGATAAGGAGCAACTTCGAGATATTTCGAGTATTGGCCTTAAAACAGTAATTGGAGAACTCCCTCCAGCTTCCAGTGGTAAGCAAGAATGCTTTTTTCTCCTATTTCCCTTTTATAAATGGAGGTATTTCTCCTCCACCGTTTTGGGTTTTTTTCCTCCTGACCAGGGAGGGAGAGAGGTATCTATCCCTAAAAGATCTTTGTAAAAAAAAGTCCGGAGTCTTATTTTTGCTTAAAAATATTATTTTGATTGAATTTAAGTATCTCTTTGGAATACCAGTTCTGAAGGATTTTTATGTTGGAATAAGATTTTATATTGTATTAAATGTGACTTGCAGAATAGAGTTAAAGCCAGCCTATGCAATGAGAGAAAAGATAACCAAAATCATGAGTTATTTCTGATTAGCTTTCTATTTTCAGTGTTAATTTTGCTTTGCTTTAGAATTTATGATGTAAAACTTAGCACCATTAAGACAGCTGTGAAAGAGTTCAGTTTACTAGTATCTTTAATTAAGGCTGAGCCTTTTATAGCTACTTATAATTTTTTTAAAATTTAAAACTACAATTAACGAATTTGTCAAGTAATTAGCTTTTGACCTCTGACAGATGTTTATGTAATGTAAGTTTTAGAATTTGTCTTGACTGCCAAGCTACAGGCTAAAATTTCAGGCTAAAGTTACTGTCTCATCTGCAAATGGGGTGAAATTACTCTCTTTCATGGAAAGAGGTATATTGGTAATAATGTAGTCTTAGTATGTAGTTTTCACTCATTTACTTAATAAATATTTATTATTCTCTATGCTAGGTATCATGCAAGATAGTGCGTGTATATTATTTCACTGTCTAAAAATGTCAGTCATATGGGAGGTCTTAAATGTAGATTGTTGATAAGGGAACTGAAATTCAGAGATTAAGTTAATTCATCCAAAGTTTTGATTACCTGGTTGGATGAAGATTCATACCCATTATCTTTTAATCCAAAGGTGATGGTTTTTTTTCACTGTATCATGCCAATGTTACTTTATTTCACCAACTCTGAAGTATGTTATTTATAGTTGTATTAGCTACATTGATATTTTCCTCATTTTTTCCCTCTCATTGAAACATGTTTGTTTTTAGCTGATTTCTGGCTCTAACAAGAATTCTATTAACCATTCAGATTTTTACTTTCACAGTTTCTTGTTTCCTTTTTTTTCTCCCTGGTCAGTAACAACACAGATCTACTTTAAAATAGCCATAATCTTTATTGATGAGTCTCCTGGAACAACATTTCTACTTTGTTTGGATTGGAAAGGATCTTATTAGTTTACTAGTAAAGAGGACTTAAATAGAGAAAAATGTCATCACTGCTTTCCAATCTAGAGGTGTAAGCACTACAGTTACTATTAGCTCCATAGCTGGCATTCGTGCCAGTGCACAGAAATAGTTGTCCAGTAGACTTTACTGAATCGATACTGTTTTCCCTGTGTCGTGTACTCCTGCAGCGGGGTCTGATTCTTATGTCTAATAAATTATTTGATTGAAAAACAACCTGTTTTGAAACATGTTTTTCTTCTTTAAGATTTTTTTTGATGTGGACCATTTTTAAAGTTTTTATTGAATTTTTTACAATATTCTGTTTTATGTTTTGGTTTTTTGGCCTCGAGGCATGTGGGATCTTAGCTCCCCAACCAGGAATCGAACCCGTGCCACCTGCGTTGGAAGGCGAAGTCTTAACCACTGGACCGCCAGGGAAGTCCCTTGAAACATATTTTTCTGACATGGATCTCTTGAGTCAGTTTTAAAATCAAGTTTAGAGTTGCTGAGTATTTGCTAACTAGCATGAATATAAGGTGGAATTCAACATACTTGCCTTGAAATCATAATCGGTTTCTTATTCATGCAGGCTCTGCATTAGCTGCTAATGTATGTAAAAAGATTACTGGGCGTCTTACCAGTGCAATAGCAAAGCAGGAAGATGTCTCTGTTCAGCTAGAAGCCTTGGATATTATGGCTGATATGTTGAGCAGGTAAACATGACTTGTTTGTATTATTTATAATACAAATATTTGTGCATTTATTAAGAACCCTTTCGGATAAATATAATAAAACTTGGTCTAAAATTATTCATGTTTAAATTGTGTCTGTTTTATAAATGTGTGTGGTTAGGAGTGAGGGAAGAAAAAACTAATTATATTATCATGTAACACTGCATAGCAAGCATATTTCTTGTAGTTTTGAAAAATAATAAAATTTGTGACTTAAACATTTCAGCAGAGTTTTTATATTTTGTTTTACTCTTTGATGTTCTTGAATACAATGATCTACTTGGATAAGGAGATGTGCTGGTAGGAGTGGCAAGTTTTCCAGTTAAAATAATGCTGGTATTCTTCAGCAGCCATGTTTTTTTAGAGCATGTGTTGTGAGGGTGGAAGGAACTTGGCTTTATATATTTGTTGCTTTTCTACTTTTCCTCTGGAAGTCAAACTTGGGAATATAGAAAGAGATCTAAGCAACTCCAAGGGGGAAGTAACCTTAAAAGACCTGTCAGCATCAGTTTGTCCCTGATTCTTATAATCATTATACGTCATTATTATTTGTCTGTTATTTGTGGCTAATTCACTTGAACTTGAAAATAATCAAGTGCCTTCATGTGGTACAAATATATAGTAAAAGTGAAGAGCTATCATCCTAGCCCACACAGAGCTTATACTTTGCTATAGGAGGTAAGAACACAAATGGCTATAATGTAAGGCAGAATTGGACTAAATATTAACGGAGAGTATAGTGTATTTGGGGGTTTAAAATGGAAGGATCCAAGAAAGTTTGTTATGGAAACAGTGGCATTTGAATTTAGTTTTGAAAAGTGGGTAGGGCACAGGTGTCTATGTTTAAACATAGAATATATCAGAATATGTAAGTAGTCTTGAGTTGGGAAACATTGTATTCTAATTTTCCAGAATATAGAATGAATAGAAAAGTGGTAGGAGATCATTTTGATACATTGGAGTCTTGTTGAGGAGGGTGAGGAATTTATGCTTAATTTGATAAGTAGTGAAAATTCAGTTAGACTTTTTTTTTTTTTTTTTTTTTTTGTGATACATGGGCCTCTCACCGTTGTGGCCTCTCCCATTGCAGAGCACAGGCTCCGGACGCGCAGGCTCAGCGGCCATGGCTCACGGGCCCAGCCGCTTCGCGGCATGTGGGATCTTCCTGGACCAGGGCACGAACCCGTGTCCCCTGCCTTGGCAGGCAGACCCTCAACCACTGCGTCACCAGGGAAGCCCCTCAGTTAGACCTTTTGTCCTGTGTGTGACTTGATCACTAGCACTGTCCTGGCAGGACACAGACGTTTGACTGCTATTGAGTCATTGAACTGCACATGTGAAATGATTTGAAAGAGAGGGTTGGACCAACAAGATCGTTGAAACTTAGTGTGTAGATTTGTAGAGGAAAGACAATAGGGAGAAGGGGTAATCAAGAGATGGTCAGAGGGCAGACATTTCAGTAGTACTTGGACATTTTGTATTTATTTGTTTTCTTTTTATTTTATTTTAAGGCAAGGAGGACTTCTTGTTAATTTCCATCCTTCAATTCTGACCTGTCTGCTCCCCCAGTTGACCAGCCCTAGACTTGCAGTGAGGAAAAGAACCATTATTGCTCTTGGCCATCTGGTTATGAGCTGTGGAAATATAGTTTTTGTTGATCTTATTGAACATCTGTTGTCAGAGTTGTCCAAAAATGATTCCATGTCAACAACAAGAACCTACATACAATGTATTGCTGCTATTAGTAGGCAAGCTGGTCATAGAATAGGTAAGAAATATTTATGTATTGAAAAGTTTTCTTTAAAAAATATTAACGAATGTTTATAAGAACTAATATGCTTTTCTTAGGTGAATACCTTGAGAAGATAATTCCTTTGGTGGTAAAATTTTGTAATGTAGATGACGATGAATTAAGAGAGTACTGCATTCAAGCCTTTGAATCATTTGTGAGAAGGCAAGTTTTTAAGATCTATATTTTTCAAATAAAAATTTTTCTTAATAGAGTAATAATTAAGATGTAGATTAGGTGGGTGAGGAGAAATGGGTTTTAATGACAGCTGGGATTGAGTTTTGGATTTCAAATGTGTTTTAATTAAGTTTTTATTAAATAATAACTGATAACCAATACAGTATTTGAAGTGAATATCATCTTTATTTTAAAATACAATCCTTACGTTTATTTTGAAATGTTTCCTTCTTATTGTTAGGACTTTTCTTAAAGAGCTTGGGAAAGGTATTTATAATTGTCTTTCAGTTTACTTTAATGATGTAGTCTTTATCCTGAGAGAGTACCAGGATAAATTAATTATCTGGTCAGAAATGTATACTAGTGAGTTTCATCTCTCTTCAACAGTTTTTGAGATGTGTTACAGCCATTTTGCTAGGGCAGTGATTCTCAGTTTTGGAACCTTGGTTCTAATAATAAAAACTGTATTTATGTACAAGAAGGCCATACTGGCTAAGTAGTGAGATTTGGGGTTTTTTTTTTTGCTTTTGGCTAGAGTTGACAGTGTAGTAGCACAGTGTCTTGAGACTTCACTGTTGTTATTTGCAGTAATTATAAGTAGTTATTTGCCACTCGTGGTTTTTGATAAGGAGCTTTTATAGTCATATCAGATTGTTAAAATCAGAAATTGTGGGATGCATTTCTGTCCTTTTAATTGAGAAATACAAATTATTTCTTTATTGTTGGGCATTTATTATATGTTCTGTCTTTTCTCAACATAAAGTTAGAAGACCAAGCCTAGATGAATGTACACTGGCATTTTCTCCAATAATCCTAGTTACTGAAGATACATTTATCTGGGCTTGGTGTTATAGCCGTGTGTTGAGAAGATAGAGCGTATACAGATTTCTCTGTGTGACCCCACACTAACTACGTCATACCATTTATTATAGGAATCATCTGACTTCAGAGATGTTAAAGTATGGGGGGGGGTGTGGAGTTCACCTTAAAATTGATTAAATAAGAGTAATTTGAAAAGTAAATCTTTTTTAAAACATGAAGTTAGTGGGAGGGAAAGATGAAGGATCATTGGTGTTGAGGGCTGGAAACCACTTTCCTATACTATGTTAAAGGGAAGGGAAAAATATCTGGTAATAAAGCAAAATTGGCAGATACTGAATCAAGGAGAAAAGTATAATTATTCAAGGCAGCTTTTGTTTTTTTCTTCAGATGTCCTAAGGAAGTATATCCTCATGTTTCTACCATTATAAATATATGTCTTAAGTATCTTACTTATGATCCAAATTATAATTATGATGATGAAGATGAAGATGAAAATGCCATGGATGCAGATGGTGGTGATGATGATGACCAAGGTATTTCAAATTAAGTAGAAGGAATTTGTTACATTTTCATGAAAGACCCAGTGTTATAGATGGAGGTGATTCTTACCCAGGTTGTGCTGTGTTTGTTTGTTTGTTTGCTTATGATAGTGAAAGTGGAAATAACCACAATATTCAACAAGAGCAAATTGATTAAAAAAATTATGGGGCATCCATGTATTGAACTGCTATGCAACATGTTCAAAATCATGTTCCTGTTAAAGCAGTTAATAAGTTGAATGAAAAGTGGGTAGCAAAAATTACTGTCCCAGTTTTATTTTTTTAAACATGGTGAAAAAAATGTTACTAGTGTTTTTCTCTTGGCAAGCAATTATAAGTGACTTTTGTTCTTTATTTTTCAAATTTTCTACAAAGTGTTTTTGTAAGGAGGGAAATGAATGTTATTTTAAAAATTGTACCTATAGATAACATATTCATAGCAGTTTGGTTGGTTTCATACATAGTTACTTTAATGAGAAATCCTAAATATTGTTTGAGGCTCCATTTAACTTTCATGAATAATTTAAGCATTTCTGAGGCTCGTATGATTGATGTCATTGTGCTGTGATTTGTGGTATTTACTCTGGAAAGGAGTAGCACTTCAAGGACACAGGGTTGCTCATGTTTAGTTGTTTCTGCTAGTATTAAAAGAATCATAATAGAAATGTTTAAGTTATTGGGTATATGCATCGGTGGATTTCCTGTTAGTTATACTTTTAAGTTTGATTCTTTGAATGAATTTAGGTAATGACTTTGCTCTAAAGTCTGTAGTAATTTCATCCATCTTTTTTTTTTAAAAAAAGGGTGGAAAAAACCTCTCTTAATCCCATTTTAGAGTCAAGCAGGTACTGCCCAATTTCTCTACACTACAACAGAACTCTTCAAAAGAATGAATGCTCTCCAACTCCTTTTTTCCTCTTTTCTCTTAAATCCAGTCTTCCAGTGATTGCCAGTGACCTCAAATGTTTGAGTCTGCCTATTCCTCAGTTCTCAGCAGCATTTCTGTATTTAACTTCCAGGATACCACACCCTCCTATCTTTGTGATTACTCCTTTTCAGTCTCTGTGCTGGTTCCTCTTCATCACCCTGACCACTATACTTTGGAGTATTTCCGGGCTTAGTCCTTGACTTCTCTGTTATGTTCTTATGATCTTGTTGATTTCATCTAGTCTCTTAGCTTTAATATCAATATGCTGAAAAGCCAAATTTTACCTTTATCCCAGACCTTTCCTGTGAATTCCAGGTTCATATATGCAACTGCTTAACTGATTTACTGCTTAGATGTCTAAAATATCTTCTCTCTGCCCTTCCCCCACTGCCTGCCCGAACCTGTTTCTTCTTTAGACTTCTCCATCTCAGAATGGCACCTCCATTCTTCTTAGTTTTTCAGGCCAAAAACTTTGGGGTTATACCTGATCGCTTCTTTTACACACCCTCCTCATCCAGTCTCCCATCTCAGGGCTTTCCCCTTACTTCATACTCATATCTATCTCCCTTTGCAGCGTTTTTATTTTCTTCATTACACCTAATCATTTTCTGATACACTGAAATTATTTTCTACCGTACCAGGATGTAAGCTTCATGAAGGAAGAGATTTTATTTTAGTCTTTCTTTATCAGTTGCTTTATCCCAGTGCCTAGGACAGTGCTTGACACACATTAGACACTCAGTAAATGTGTTATATTAACGAAGGGAAACCTTAGCTTATAATAGGAATATCCTTTGAAAAAAGGAGTAGCATTTTATGTTCCAGATTTTTTGATTGTTGGTTTTTTTAGTGTGGTAAGTACCAATGTTGAATAACAAACCAGGTCCTTCGGCTGCTTTATCAGGTACATGGATTATACCTAATAAATATCTTTTTATCATAGTGTTATTGTAACTTATAAAACCAACATAATTTTCGTGATTAAGCTGTTTAATTTTTTATAACCTTTAAGTATATTCCTGTAAAGTAATTCCTATAGTTGGGTTGCCATTGGAAATTTTTCATTTATTTATGTGCTTTAAAATAATCTATTTGGTAGTACACCCTATAATTTTTCTTCAAATAGGTATTGGTGAATAAATCAAACGCCTTGGTTTAGCAGTATTTGGTTGGGTTTTACTATAAACTGCTAAGATGAAATTAAGTAAGGCTTCTGGAGATTGGAAAATTTTCCAAGGCATAGTTGGCTACATTTAGCTGTCACTAAGCTAATTGGAATATAAGCCAAAGAAGTGATGATATCTTTTTTCTGCCACTGAGGAATCATTTCAGGACTATAGTTCTTATATCTAAGAATAACGAAATTATTGTTAGTAATTTTAGACTGTCCTGAGAACTGCTAATATGTAGGCCATCCTCCTGACTTCATGTTACCCAACTGATTCGGCTTGATGTTGTTAGAAGGAAATAATTTTCAGAGATTTCACACACACAAAAGTTAGCAAGAATAGTAAGTGAGAGAGAATTGTTAATGCTTATGCTTGGAATATTGCTTTAATGTTTAACAGGAGTTTGGAGAAGCTGGTGCTCTGTTATGTGGGCAGAATTTTCTTGTTATAATTGAGAAAGTATAGTTTATTTAAGCTGTATTAAGATAATATCTTGAAAGGCTGAGAATATGCATATTCGTTCCTAATAGCCCATCAACAAATTTAGTGAAAAGCCTTGTAGTCACAAAGAAAGCTGATGTCAGGATTCTTTTTCTCCCCTGAAAAATTAGTTTCACAGCATGACCTGGGATTGGTGATCATTCTTTTTATCACATCATCTATATCACAAATCTATTTTATAGTTTATCTTATAAACTCCCCAGTTTGTTTGATTTTCCTGTAGTGTCAAGTGAATCTTTTGAATTGAACTTCTATTCACATTATTTTAAAAGGCTGGGACATTTATGATTTTACAAATATTTATAATCTGAAGAAGTTTAATATGTTGATAAATGATTTTAAAGAGTTAATAAGCAGCTCATTACCCATAAATGAGAAAATGTTTAACAAATTAAAAACGCAATCAGATAATTTTTCTTTAGAGGTTTGTTTATGTGTAAATTTTTATAAGTAAATTCTGCCTCCGATTTAAGTACTAGTTCTTTTTAAGCCTATCTATTGCCGTATATCTTAGTGGAAAGTTAGAAAACTATCTTAGTTGTGAATATCAGTTCACTTTCTATATTAAACCTTTCTTACGATTAATAGCCTGTTAACATTAAAACTTCTCTTTAGGGAGTGATGATGAATACAGTGACGATGATGACATGAGTTGGAAAGTGAGACGTGCAGCTGCTAAGTGCTTGGATGCTGTAGTTAGCACAAGGCATGAAATGCTTCCAGAATTCTACAAGACCGTCTCTCCCGCACTGATATCCAGATTTAAAGAGCGTGAAGAGAATGTAAAGGCAGATGTTTTTCATGCATACCTTTCTCTTTTGAAGCAAACTCGTCCTGTGCAAAGTTGGCTGTGTGACCCTGATGCAATGGAACAGGGAGAAACACCTTTAACAATGCTTCAGAGTCAGGTCAGTTTAAAAGCGTGTTTTAAAAGTCATGCTAATAAATGTGATCTTTTAAAGTGGTGTTTTTATATGGAAATATGAGTTCCAGAATAGCTTTAGAGAAACAGTTCTGGGATGTGTTTGTATAGTAGTTTATGGATGCTCATATTACATTACTTGTAAATAATTTATTCTGATCGAAGTTTTCTTGATTCTTCCTGGCTAAACAATATTAGCTTTAAGATTCAGTGAAGTAGTCTTTATCTTTGATTAATGGAGAAGTCTTAGGGCAGTGGAATTAGACAACTTGTGTTCATAGCTTCCTTCCCTCCTAATTTAGCTGTGTGATCTTGGACAAGTTATTTAGACATTTTATTAAGCCTCACTTTTCTCATTTGTAGTAAGGGTTTACTTAGAACTGTCTACCCAAGGTAGAGATGATATGATCTATGTAAACATACAGTGAAGCCTGCTACATAGTATTTATATATACCAGCTATTGTTATTGATAAAATACATATTATTTTCACTTGAGGACATCTTTTCTAAGATCCTAAATGTTAGCTCTGTATAGCCCCCATTTGTTGAATATTTAGTACGTGCTAGGTATTTTCCTATCTTATATGCAGTCTCTACAGCAGCCCTATGGGGTACATATTTGTCCATTTTTGTAGATTACAAAACAGATGTTGAGAGGGACTAAACAACTAAACCAGAGGAGGGGATGTACATGCCATATCTATCTTGTTTTCAAGTAGTAAAAATTTTAAAAGTTTGTGGTGAACTTAAAGGTGAACACTGAAGATTAATTGTAGAAGGAAAAGATAAAGTGTATGGAGGACATAAGCAATTGACTAAGTATATGGAAAGCAGATAAAAATCACAGGAAATTTTGATGATGCTGTGGTGAATTAATTAGATAGATGTTTTCTTTTGCCTCTAGTTCTCTCACATCATTGTTCGATATGGTATGTGTCTGTATCCTGGCATCCATAAGATTTATTGGTAAATTCCCTGTTGAGGATTTACTGACTGACATTAGGAAGTTTAGAAGCAGATGTCTTTGAATCTTGTTCCTGCCACTTGTAACTACATTTGAAGTGAGGTTGAGTTCATTGTAACAGCCAACGAAAAGCAAACACAAGGACCCATTTAATGGTTTCTTTTCTATAATTTGTCTTTTTTCTTTAATTGCTTGTATGTGCTATTTCAGTTTCAAAAACCATTTATAAATTATGCTCCTAAAGTTTTGGTTGAAAATTATTTTATTGTTTAGATCTCTATTTAGTCTTGTGCATTTCATAAGTAAAATTAATCAAGGAAGACTTTTGTTGCTCTGTAGAAAGCTAATGATAGCTTTTCTCTGCTCTCTTATTTATCAGTTATCAAGCAAATATAGTTTCAAGAGAACATATATAGTAGATGCAACAAAGTTTGTATTGTACAAATTGTTGACAGTTAGTGGAATTAGGAATTTGACCAAAAAAATTCTTCCATTTGTCCCCAGCCCCTGTAATTTGTGTTAAGTGTACTGGGGAAGTACCAGTAGCTGAACCAGCTAATGAGCACTTGATAATTACAGGTTCCCAACATTGTTAAAGCTCTGCACAAACAGATGAAAGAAAAAAGTGTGAAGACCCGACAGTGTTGTTTTAACATGTTAACTGAACTGGTAAATGTATTACCTGGGGCCCTAACACAACACATTCCTGTACTTGTACCAGGTATGAAAGAAATAGTAAATCACTTTTGGGACTTATTATAGACTTTATTAAGACTTAGATAAGCTTAAATAATTGTTTCCTTGAAAAGGATAATTTGTGACAACTTTGCACATGTAACTAACTTTTTTACAGAACCATTGAATACCTAAAGTTAAAAGTTTAAAATCGTACCCTAAAATTTTTTACTTTAATATTTATCATAGCTTGTGGAATTTCGACTGCTTTAGAGATAATATATAGTGGGAACTTTAGCAATCTTTTAGGGATTCGTTTTAAATTTTAAAACTAGCTTTAAATTCATAAAGGTGCCATGGATAAAAATACTGGATTTTTCTTTTTTGGTTGGGTTTTAGGAATCATTTTCTCACTGAATGATAAATCAAGCTCATCAAATTTGAAGATTGATGCTTTATCCTGTCTATATGTAATCCTCTGTAACCACTCTCCTCAAGTCTTCCATCCTCATGTTCAAGCTTTGGTCCCTCCAGTGGTGGCTTGTGTTGGAGATCCATTTTACAAGATTACATCTGAAGCGCTTCTTGTTACTCAACAGCTTGTCAAAGTAATTCGTCCTTTAGATCAGCCTTCCTCGTTTGATGCGACTCCTTACATCAAAGATCTATTTACCTGCACCATTAAGAGGTTAAAAGCAGCTGACATTGATCAGGAAGTCAAGGAAAGGGCTATTTCCTGTATGGGACAAATTATTTGCAACCTTGGAGACAATTTGGGCTCTGACTTGCCTAATACCCTTCAGATTTTCTTGGAGAGACTGAAGAATGAGATTACGCGGTTAACTACAGTGAAGGCATTGACACTGATTGCTGGGTCGCCTTTGAAGATAGATTTGAGGCCCGTCCTGGGAGAAGGGGTTCCTATCCTTGCTTCATTTCTCAGGAAAAACCAGAGAGCTTTGAAACTGGGTACCCTTTCTGCTCTAGATATTCTAATTAAAAACTATAGTGATAGCCTGACAGCTGCCATGATTGATGCAGTTCTAGATGAGCTCCCACCTCTTATCAGCGAAAGTGATATGCATGTTTCACAGATGGCTATCAGTTTTCTTACCACACTGGCAAAAGTGTATCCCTCCTCCCTTTCAAAGATAAGTGGATCCATTCTCAATGAACTTATTGGACTTGTTAGATCACCTTTATTGCAAGGGGGAGCTCTTAGCGCCATGCTAGACTTTTTCCAAGCTCTGGTTGTCACTGGAACAAATAATCTAGGATACATGGATTTGTTGCGCATGCTGACTGGTCCAGTTTATTCTCAGAGCACAGCTCTTACTCATAAGCAGTCTTATTATTCCATTGCCAAATGTGTAGCTGCTCTTACTCGAGCATGCCCTAAAGAAGGACCAGCTGTAGTGGGTCAGTTTATTCAAGATGTCAAGAACTCGAGGTCTACAGATTCTATTCGCCTCTTAGCTCTACTTTCTCTTGGAGAAGTTGGGCATCATATTGACTTAAGTGGGCAGCTGGAACTAAAATCTGTCATATTAGAAGCCTTCTCATCTCCTAGCGAAGAAGTCAAATCAGCTGCATCCTATGCATTAGGCAGCATTAGTGTGGGCAACCTTCCTGAATATCTGCCATTTGTCTTACAAGAAATAACCAGTCAACCCAAAAGGCAGTATCTTCTGCTTCATTCCTTGAAGGAAATTATTAGCTCTGCATCAGTGGTGGGCCTTAAACCATATGTTGAAAACATCTGGGCCTTATTGCTAAAGCACTGTGAGTGTGCAGAAGAAGGAACCAGAAATGTTGTTGCTGAATGTCTAGGCAAACTCACTCTAATTGATCCAGAAACTCTCCTTCCACGGCTTAAGGGGTATTTAATATCAGGTGGGTACCTAGATTTTCTTATCTAAAAAAATTTTGTTTATTCGCAGTTGTTGCCTGGAAAGATTGCTAATGCTGAAGTTAAAACATTTCTGTATCTTGTTATATGTAGAACCTATTGCCTTATGTTATTGATATGGAGCCATATTCAAATGACACCTTGTTGTTTAAAAGGATAAAGAGTGTAGTTAGATAATGATTAAATAAATCTGTTGTAGTTTCTAGTGTTTAATGTATTTTAATGTTACTCTTGTCTTAATGTGGGACAGATGTCTCTTGAATTAATATAGCCAGAGGAGCTTGCTAGAATTAATTACAGTACTAAAATTGGTGAACTAACCTGGTTCAAATGAAAGATTCTAGAAGAGTTTTCAGATTACCAGTGTCAACCCCTGTTGTCCCAGGAGAAGATACTAAAGGCTGTTCATCCTTAGAAATTGCTTTCATTTTTAATAAAAATCTTCACAGTCATGTAGTGGTTTAACCAGTTCCCTTTTGTGAGGGATAGAGCCTCCACTGCTGGTCTCGCAGGCTGCCTCCTTCCTGGTAGAAATTGTTCCTTTTGAAATCTAATGGAATTACGTTTCATAAGATGAGTAAACTTTGCTTCATTAGTATCCTGGAAGTAATAAGAAATACCCCTCTTGACCAAAGAGAGGTGTTTTTTTTTTTGTTTTTTATTATTTTTGGCTGTGTTGGGTCTTCTTTGTGGTGTGCGGGCTTCTCACTGCGGTGGCTTGTCTTGTTGCAGAGCACGGGCTCTAGGCACGCGGGCTTCAGTAGTTGTGGCACATGGGCTCAGTAGCTGTGGCTCGCGGGCTCTAGAGCACAGGCTCAGTAGTTGTGGCGCATGGGCTTGGTTGCTCTGTGGCATGTGGGATCTTCCCGGACCAGGGCTCGAACCCGTGTCCTCTGCATTGGCAGGCAGGTTCTTAAGCACTGCGCCACCAGGGAGCCCAACCAAAGAGAGTTTTAAGGAATTAAAGACCCTGGTGTTATTTGAAGTGGTTTGAAAATGATAAAGGTGTCCATGGATTTTAGTTGACTTAAATACCAATAGACTTAAAATTTATTTTTAATTAGGCTCATCATATGCCCGAAGCTCAGTGGTTACAGCTGTGAAGTTTACTATTTCTGATCATCCACAGCCTATTGACCCCCTATTAAAGAACTGCATAGGTAAGTGGAAATGAAGATGAATATAGTGAATAACTAGTTAATAGTTAACTGTCACAAAACGAATCATTTCAATAGCTAAATATATCACCAAGGAACTAAAATGCTTTTAAGGGTCTGGTAATTCTTTCATAAAAAAAATAATTTTGCAAATAGCTGAAATTTAGTAAATATGCTAGGATGTCTTTAAAGTCAACTACACATTCGATAATCATATTTTGGGAATGACGTAAAGTAAACTAATGGGTAAAGGAAAAAGATATATGATCTATCTGACTAATCTGAAGTTCTTCCCAGTTGTAAATGAATCACATTTGAGCTTGTGATGGCCCCAGTTCTTCGTTATTACTTGTATCTCTCCAGCTCCCAAGGGGATCTTTGGAGGCTTTTAAATTTAAGGTAGAAATTTAAGAATAAAAAAGATAATTCTTGTGGTAATTAGTTCTACCAACCTAAGAGGAGCTATCCAAGAAAGAAAAGGGCCATCTCTTTCTATGAAGACAAGAATTAGCTTTTTAGTGTTATTTTCCATGATTTTATAACTTCCCTGTGTTGTTTTCATCATCAGTTTTCCTAGAGCTTTTAGTAACTAAACTCTCTGGTGTTTTCTTGAAGACAAGAATGGGGATACCAGCAGAGAGGATAGAGGGATATGGCAAAGAAGCTTTGCAGTTTCGTGCCATTTAAAAAACACAGTCTAAAAGAAAAGAACTACCGAAAGGGATTACCAATTCAGAGTAAGGGGGACATGGGGGATAAATGGGTGCCAGCGCTGAGACCTAGAATTAATTCAAAGAAAGTGTCTATCAGAAGATTCTTGCCTTTGTTCCCCTCGCCTCTTTTTGCTTTGATAGATTTACTCACATTTTTGTCATTGTACAAGATACAGCAAAGGAAGAGACCTGTGCCAGATCTTTAGAGACATCTTTCTAGGTTGACAACAGTCAACCAGTGTGCATCATTGGTATAGTTATTCAGTCAGATGATTATCATTCTGTTTGTTTAAAATTGAAATTCCTAGACCAAGTTGTTGGGGACCACTGATCCTAGACCACGTCACCATTTGTCTATCATAATAGCAACACTGTTTGTGCTTTACTGAAAGCAATTCACCATGATAGTAATTCTAAGCAAACAGAGGTGAGGAGGTTTAGTCTGGTACATTTAAATTCTTTTTGAACCCAAGCTACCTCTTAACCTTTTTTTGTAGTCAGGACTTTCCTGGGTGGTCAACCTTGAGTTTACCAACCTATGGTGTCTGAAGTATTTTTTTTCCCCCTCCCATTTCTTCAAATTGCTGTTGTGATACATTTAAGTCTTCTCATACCTTTTTTCCCCTGTGTATTCTAAAAGATTGCTTATGGTAGGGTTGAGATGACATAATGATGAGTAGCTCTGTGTGAATATCACATGTGTACCAGACACTGTGTTCAGTAATGTACGTATAAAATTCTCATTTTATAAACTGGGAAACTGAAGCTCTTGCCTACAGTAACTTGCCAGAAGTTGGTCATACAGTTGACAAGTGAAGCAGTGTGGATCACCATCTGTATGACTCCAGAGATCTTTGCACTGTAATTTCTTTCCCCTGTGTGGAAGAACAACCAGACTTATATCTGTGTTTAAAGTGGCTAGGTGCTTTCTTTAGCTTTTTGTCCTATGGTAGGTTTCAGTTTCTTCCTTTTTGTATTCTTAGACCTCTTATCTATTTCTTGTTAAAGATAAAAATAGGCTTTGGGAGGCACATTTCTCCGTCATCTGATAAATTATATACTTGTTAACAGTATTCCATCTTTATCAGGCAGTGGATCTGTCCCCACCTTGCTTATCTTTTGAACTCAGGTTTTTAAATTTCACTTTTGGAAATTAAAATTTAAAGTAAATATAATGTAAACTTCGTCTGAGCATAAATTTATTTGACTTGTCCACAGCTGTATCCCCACTGCTTCATGCCATAAATGCTCAATAAATGTTTTTTGAATGAGTGAAAAAAAAATTCCATTTTTGTTGGTGCTTTTTTAGTGCAAGTACTAATTTTGAATTTTAAGGAGAATCATTCAAGTTACTAGGTCTTGTGGTTGCTGGCTCCATCACTTTTCTATGTCACCCACCTGTTAAATCAACTATCTATAAAAGTAATGGGGAGCTTTTGGGGCTCTCACTCCTTACCTTTTGCATTTAAAGGTGCTGAGAACAGGTTTATCAATTAAGTCCACTCACATTCAGACATAATAGTTTACCTGTTGTCAAAAGAAATTATATAGCTCACTTAGGATTTCATCATATTCCATGACCCACATTGAAGGAGTAACAATAATAAACTGTCAATTTAGGAAAGTAATATAATGCATATTTTAAGCTTACCATAGCTCTTGCTTCTCTTTCAATTTTTCAGGTGATTTCCTAAAAACTTTGGAAGACCCAGATTTGAATGTAAGAAGAGTGGCCTTGGTCACATTCAACTCAGCAGCACATAATAAGCCATCATTAATAAGGGATCTTCTAGATACTGTTCTTCCACATCTTTATAATGAAACAAAAGTTAGAAAGGAGCTTATAAGAGAGGTAAGTTAGATTGCACTGTTTACCTAAGCTTGTCTTTTACTTTCTAGTATATCTACATATTCTGTTTTATTTCAACAGGTAGAAATGGGTCCATTTAAGCATACAGTTGATGACGGCCTGGATATTAGAAAGGCAGCTTTTGAGTGTATGTACACACTTCTAGACAGTTGTCTGGATAGACTTGATATCTTTGAATTTCTAAATCATGTTGAAGATGGTTTGAAGGACCATTATGATATTAAGGTAAGATGTTTGTGCCTGTTTATAGAATGTTTTAGCAGAAGACTTTGCTAGTGACTTTCACCTTTGTAATCTACTCTTGTTATTAAGCGAGAAAGATTGGTTTGCTTGTCATGATTTTAGTGTGTTATAAACTAATATGCAAAAGTAATAGCGATGCAATGTGACATCAGTTGACATACAGGAAAAATCCAGAAACCTTTTCATTGGAGGAGGAAGTCAATATCAAGAGTTTTGTTAAAGGATAAGAGGAAGAACTGTTTTCAGATACACAAAGCAATCTGTAGAAGCAACCATAGAGAAATTATACTTCATGCTTCTTACGTTTAGAGCATGAACTTTGCTCATAACTGCTTTTTGTTTTCCTGTTTGCCTAAGTCCGTTTAAAATGTCAACTATAAAAGGGTGATTTGAAAAATCTTTTTCTTCTAGTCAGGACCTTTGGTCAAGCAGGGCAAAAGTGGTAGTTGAGCAGTAACTCATCCATACTATCAGAACTCCAGCTTTCACGTTTCCATAATGTAATATGGAATAACTTGACCCCTCCGGAACTCAATGAAAAGAGCCCTGAAAGAATAGGATCCTTTTATTTCTACAGTTTATGGTCTAAGAGAAAAGATTATGGGTTACTGGACTTTATGGATTAATCTGAATAAGCAGGCTTTTTGTTTTGTTTTTTTAGTGAAATTTGCAAAGACAGTAGAAACTTCTTATAAAGCTTTTCTTCTAGTTCAGTTATTTTCTTATTCACTGATTGTTCCATCTGGTGCACATGAGCTTTTTAAAAAATACTGAGTCTGTGGCCCTATCCCGATGAGTGAAGTAAAAATAGGTATATTTGTTAAGCTCCCCAGCTGTAATGTGTGGTCAGGATTGAGAACCACTCTTTTAGTTCTGTACTCTAGGACCGTGACCATCTGTCATGATAGATAAGGTAACTCTAGTACTTGTAGGTAAAATTCCTTAGACAAGATTTGAGGCAATTCTGTGTGATTCCAATGGCAGATTACATTAAAATGAAATTTAATGGTACAGGTTAGTCATTTTCCTTTCAAAAGCTTTGTCAGAATTTGGGATTTGTCTTTAGAAAATAATGCAAAATCTAAATTTTGTCTCTTTTATTCATAATAGATGCTCACATTTTTAATGTTGGTGAGACTCTCTACCCTTTGTCCAAGTGCAGTACTGCAGAGGTTGGACCGACTTGTTGAGCCATTACGTGCTACATGTACAACTAAGGTAATGTTGATGTCATTGATTTAGGCCAGACTTAGTATGTTCAGGATCCCTAGTTGATTCTATACTGTGGTTTTCCAAATTTAACTATGCTAGCACCCTTATGTAGCAGTTTGTTTCAAAAGTTAACTTATTATTCCTATTCCTCACTTCCTTCAAATGTGGATGTTTTAGAAAGCTTAGTACTGTTAAATGCTGTTCTTAAAAGTTTGTTATAACAATCTGACACATATTTTTAAAGTACTGATATGGGTTAAATAGTGTGATAGGGCCACAAAAGAGGAGGAAATGTTTAATTCTGGTGGAGGAGGGGGGGGGGGGGGGTCACAGAAGGCTTCATATGCACGTGACAGCATTTAAAATGCACCTTGAGAAGTCAGGATTGTTTTAGGTCCAGAAGGTGAAACAGGACTTTTCATACAAAAATAATTATATGAATTAAGGCACAGAGATGTCAGTACATGACATGTTTGAATAAACAAGGTAGCTAGAGGGGTAGTTTCTTGATAGAGGACAAAGTAGGACTTGCTAATAAGCAGATCCCACTCTTGGTTTTTATAATGGGCCTTGTATAGAATATTCCCTTAAAAGGAGATACATAGCTACTACTAAAAAGAAGTTTCAGAGCAACTCTGCTTGAAGAATAATGTGCCTTTTGGATCTATGAAAGAGTAGCTTTGCTTTATTTATATGTGCTTAAATTTTGTTTGTATAAGAACTGCCTTTTATAGCATGTAATATAAATTTACTCATTGTTACAGGTAAAAGCAAACTCAGTAAAGCAGGAGTTTGAAAAGCAAGATGAACTAAAGCGATCTGCCATGAGAGCAGTAGCAGCACTGCTAACCATTCCAGAAGCAGAGAAGAGTCCACTGATGAGTGAATTCCAGTCACAGATCAGTTCTAACCCTGAGCTGGCAGCCATCTTTGAAAGTATCCAAAAAGATTCGTCATCCACTAACTTGGAATCAATGGACACTAGTTAGATGTTGGTTCAACCTGGGGACCATTACATTGACCATATGATGCACTGAATTGACAGGTTAATCATAAGACATGGAAAGAGAAGTAAAGCTTCAAAATGTTCCACTTTTTTTTTTTCCTTCGTGGAGACAGTTTGACTTTCTTCCATTGTTGTTTTTGTAGCATTTATTTCAGAAATACGTATTTCCATAATCCAGAGGTTGTAAAACCACTAATGTTTTAGTGGTTAGGGCAACATTTAAAATGACATCTAAAAGTTAGGATTGATGGAGATAGGGTCCAGTATCTATTTACCCTGTAATGTTTAGGATTAAAATGTTAAAATTTTGTGACCATGAATTTTCTTTCTTTTATAAATTTTCTCTTATTTAAAAATCAAAAATTCTGCAAGACAAAAAACCATGTTTCTTTTTCTTGTATAACTTTTTGTTTCAGCAGCACAAATTGATTTTTAGCTGTGGCAGACAAGAATACCTGTGTAAGATTTGTTACATTTCGGAGGGGTTGGCAGTTTAAAAGAGATAATATCATTTTTTTTTAGGTATGGGGATTAACAGTATCCCTGTTGCGCACACTAATTTTGCATGAGCAAGTTTACAAATATGTATTGTCTGTAAAGCAGCATGTGCAGATTATTCATAATACAAAAGTAAAAATAAGTATTATTGTATTAGTGCAATTTTCAGATATTTATTTTTGCACAGAAAACATATCTGGAGAGAAAGAGAGAGGAGTAAATTTTTGAAACTTTGGTTTTCTTAATGCCAGTGTGAATTTGCAGATGTTTTCAGCAAATCAAGTCATGATAACAATTCGCCACTTCTTTTTCTATTATAAATTTTCATATACATTTAAAATTTGAATATTTAAGTACTCAGTTTTTCTCAGTTACCCATTTGTGTGCGTGTGTTTCCACTTAGAAATTCTTAAAGCCAGATTTTTCTTTCATTTCCTTTGTATCTCTACATTCCTTATCGAAAGAGTCAAATAACTATACGCTTTTGAATTTTACTTTTAGGAAAATTCTGAAGCTGGCTATCACAGGTTTGTTAGCTAATAATAGTATTTTCTTTTAGTTGAGTTAGATTTTCCCCCTTTCTTGGAGAGCTAATTTACATATTGTATTCGGTAAGCGTTGACTACTTTTCCTGATTAAAGGGTCTGTGCTTGGGGGAAACAGTACCTTATATTGTAGTTAAGATTTTATTTAACATATCCTTCAGTGAGCTCATTTCACACTGTAGCCTCTTCCTTCAAATTTGTGGTGCTCCTGTAACAGTAAGAACTAATTTCTGAAATAAAAGACATCTCCTAATGCTGTGCAAACATAGTTTACATGTATTGAAGGAGGCAGTTGTTAAATTGAGTGACCAATTTTAAGCATTCAGATATTTGAAAACTGCACCCTTTATTTTTGAAACTGTGAATTAGAAGTATTTTTCCTGCTGTATTGCTTAACCTGCTTTAACATCCAAATATGCGGTGATTTTAATTGGTAACATACTGTGGTTATTAGATTAACAGCTTGACTTCAGATATTCAGATGATAATGCATAAGACATCATTACCAGTAAGGATTTTGATTAGGACATGGACCATTACATGAAGTTGGTGCCATTTCAGAATGTGGCAGGTGATAATCATACCATAATTTGCATAAAACTGTAATAGAAATTTATTTTGAGATGTTGGTATATTATGTACTATGCATTACCGTGATATAGATGTTGTGGATATATTTAAGTATTTGGTTACATCATTTCACAATAAATTACAATACTGCAGGCTCTAGGACCATATAGGAGACTGACATGCATATGTTGTGTGAATGTCTTAGTTAAGTGTCTGAAGTTAAATCCATATACTTTTCATGTATTGGATTTCTCCATTCTTTAACTTCTAAAATGCTTACAGTTTTTTTTTTTGTTTTTTTGAGTCTTGCAAAATGGCTAACTTTTCTAATATAGCTGAAATTCTATCTTCTAACAAGAAAGATTCTGCTCTTTTCTAGTAGTAGATATGGTTTTAGTGTTTATATATATATAATATATATTATATGTATATACTCACATAAATAACAAAATTAGTAAAAGTAGGATACTCAGATTTTAAATGCTGAGTCATACTGATTAACTTCATACTTCTAGTGGTGATGTCCTGATATTGGAATGGAAGTTGCAAGGTGTGGCATTCAGTCATAATCTGCCACTCATACTGCTTACTGGTCTTTTAAATATTAGGAAGTTCTGCTTAGCAATTCTGCATATGTAGGTTCCTCAGGAGATCTACAATAGTAAGAGAACAGCTGCTCTCTGATTTTCTTGAGAACGTTTAAATTGTTTAGATCTACCCAATTTCTTTTTATTTTATTATTTTATTATTTTTTATTTTTTTGTGGTACGCGGGCCTCTCACTGCTGTGGCCTTTCCCGTCGCGGAGCACAGGCTCCGGACGAGCAGGCCCAGCGGCCATGGCCCACGGGCTCGGCCGCTCCGCGGCATGTGGGATCCTCTTGGACCGGGGCACGAACCCGTGTCCCCTGCATCGGCAGGCAGACTCTCAACCACTGCGCCACCAGGGAAGCCCCCCAATTTCTTTTTAAAGAAAGCTCAGTATGGGGTTGTGTTTTTAGGTTACGTTATTTTATGAAACTAAGGCAGAAAGGAAATTTGCTATGGCAAAGACTAAACTAAAAATTTTAAATCAGTAGCACTGAATGATTTTTTAAATGTGGTCATGTATTCATTAATGATATCTAAATTTGCTTAACCCCTGGGAATTAGAATTCTTAAAATATTGGAGTATGGAGACTTCAACAAATGTTTGAATATTTATATAATTTTTATGTAACCATAAGTAACCAAATCATGTTTTTTGTTTTTTTACACTTCTGTTGGGTAAATGGTAAAGAAATAACATATGGGCATATCTCATTTAACCAGTTTTAAGGGATATCTTTATATCTAGCTCAGTCTCAGATATATGAATATGATTATATAGGCATGATTGAAGTTTAAAATGATGAAATATACAACATCCTCAGTCACTGAAAAATTCAGTTTACTGGTTAACTAATAAACCTTGTAAGGTGTGTTTAGCCACATGTCAAATACTTGACAATTTTTTAGAAGTTGAAATAACATTTTCTGCCCAAATCAAAAATTTTACCAAAAATTTCAGTTGTTAAAATTAACTGCCAATCTCTAGATATATTATGCTTAGTAAATATTTTGATATTAAAGAGCTTAAAAATTTCAGTAAATGTTGATTCTAGCTCTGTCTTAAATATTGAATCCCAGTTTTCAAACTACTGCCACCCCAGATTGACATCTGTTTTTGAAATCTTAATTAATCCTCTGTGAAATGGAAAATGGACAATAACGACAACAGTTCATTTTACTGTTTGGGAAAAGGATATTCTGGTTTTAGCTGATTTTTTTCCAGTTAATTAAGTAAAACTCCTCTGATGCCTTTGGCTGCAAAATGCAACACATTGGAAGTATTACGTGGCAAGCTGCCAAAATCTCACCAGATATGGCCATTTTCTTAAGAAATATGTACAATGAAATTACATTTTCCCTTTACAATATAGTAAGTTGCTTATTTTCCTATTAATACTAGAAAAATAGGACTTTGTGAACACCTACACTGTAATTTAGGACAAGAGTTACCAGCAACATGTTTTTGGCTCTTTGTAACAACTTTGAAAGTTAGCACTTTTCATAAAAACCAACTTCAATTAAAACTAAGGAGAGTATTGCAGATAATTTTACTTTGTTAGACTCTGTAATGTTAATGTGTCAGTATGCTTTTTTAGTAGTGGGAGTCTTAATACCCTGACCGCTTTGTACTTTAGTTCTGATGTTAAGTGATTGTCAGTGATTTTGGCAAATTGAATTGTTTCACTTAAGTCTTAGATGAGAAAAAGCTATCTGTGAACTGAAATTCTTTCTAGATTAGGATGTATTGGAATTAGTGTATTTAGCCATTATCAGTAAATAATGGCTGATGCACGCTGAGTGATTTTATTCTAGAGTGCTCTCTCACAAGAAAAATCTGAAGAATTGTATTTTAGAACTGGTTAATGTATGATAACCACGATAACCTCATGATTTAGTAGCCCGTAATAATCCTGTTACTTTGAAAAACTATTTTACTTGTTTCATAGACATTTCACTTTTAATATAAACCCAACTGCTTACTTAGGTAAGAGCAGCTAAATGTGTGTGGTGGTATTTTACTGTAATCCTAATGTAGTATTTTTAAGACACCAAATGTGTACTTTACTTGGAATCCTTACCATCCATGAACTAAATCAGGCTTTCCTAAAAGGTCTGGAAATAAACACCTAGTTTCTTGTTCTAGAAATAAAACCCATGCTTTCCTCCAGACTTGGTACTTAAGTAGAAAAATGCATGTTCTTTTTAGATCAGGATTTCTCAACCTAGCACTATGACATTTTGGACTGAATAATTCTGTGTCATGGCAGCTGCCCTGTGCATTGTAAGATAACAACATCCCTCGCCTCTACCCACTTAGATACCAGTAGTACCATCACCACCCCCAGTTGTGACAACCAAAATTGTCTCCAGATATTGCCAAATGTCCCCAGTGGAGTAGGGGAAGAGGGAGAGAGTGCAAAATTGCCCCAGTTAAGAACCACTACTCTAGAGAGCTTTTTCTTGTTTCTTGTTAGTAGGTAAAACCAACTGAGATTCTATACATGCAGAAGTTTTCAGACATTCTTAGTGTCAGTTCTTCATCTTCCTAACTAAATTTAAGTACTGTTTTTAACCTATTTTCTTCCACCAGTTAATTAGAACTATCATGATTTAGTGAAAATAGGTTTCTATTTCTATATATTACCTCCTCTGATTTAAATGGATGGTCTTTATTAAATCCCTTAACATACTTTTTTTTTTTTTCTGGCTATAAAATGCTTTCTCTTACTTAAAGAAATATGAGTATAAAGGGGGCTTCTACTACACAGGGGAATATGAGGCAATGTGAGTGCTTTGCAATTGGGGTACTGTATAAAAAGGCAACTAGTACATTTTACTTGAATTCTTGAAAAAGAATAAGTGGATTTTCAAAATTACTCATTTACATTCTCTTCAAGAGAACAGTTCATTAATTTACTTTCTTGAACTAAAGACTTGCTTTCAGTACAGTTAATTTCCTGTTTAGCTGTAATATTTAAAGACATGCCAAACAGTGATGGGGGGGTATTAGGTATTATTTCAAAACTATATATTTGAGCTTTGAAAGTAAATTGTAAAAGTAAAGGTGACTCTAGCAGATTTTTGCTATTTTTCTAGGATTAGTTGATGTTTAGAGACAATAAAATCCTTCTTATGAATGTTGATAACCACCCATGAGATTTTAAAGACTGAATGGTGGTAGGCAAGTGGCAGGAAAACTTATCACAAATCAAATTGCTTACTCTTTGAAATAAGACCATTGAATGAGTCATCTTTCAAGCTTCTGAACCATTTTAGTCCCACTTAGCAGAATTGGCATAAACAAAAATAAAAGTTAATTTCCTTTTACATGATGTTTTTTTGAAGTATTAAATGAGGCTGATTGGTCAACAGTTTTAGTAAGTTCAGAATGCTGAGTTTGGAAACCTTGAAAAATCATAGTCTTTAAAACCTGCATTTAAAAGACTTTTGAAATTTGTTTCAGCATCAGTTGCCCTCTGAAGCAGAGTCAAGCATTGTCAGATGACCATGTGTGTATGAGAGGCCCCACTGCTGACCTGCATTGCTGTAGCCCCTGCTCACCATGCTCTACCTGTCAAGCGTTACCGTAAAACTTACTGCCACGCCTCCATCCTTGTAAACAAAGGCAAAGCTAATTACCTTTTTCCCTCCTTCCTTTGGTGCCTCTCTACTCTTTAGTAGTATGTGCTTAACACTGGGGACAGTATGGGGGAAACACTACATAATTACTGTTAAGTAGTGTTTCAACAGGGGAGATACCGTTAGGGCTCTGTATGATTTGTGGCACAGATTCCTGGTCTGGGGATCAGGACAAGCCTAAGCCAAGGGTGCCGTGTACTCCATGTGGTGGGAATAGGATTAGCAACAGCATAGGGACAAGAGGTCATGCTGTATTCAGAAGCTGAATATGGCTGTAGTCTGGAATATGAGGGAGAACAGTAAGAAGCTAGGAAGGGCAGATTATAGAGGGCCTTGTAAACGTTTTGGATTTAACTTCAGGGATGATGGCAAGCCTAGAAATACTTAAAAGCCAGTCATGTGATCAGATTTGTAAATTTTGAAAGATTAGCTGCCGTATAGAGAATGGACTGGAAGGAAGGAAAGACACTTGGTGAGTTAGGATGTTAATGGAATAATATATGTGAAAGGGAATGTTGTGCTGAACCAGTGTAGATTTGGAGGGGAAGTCAGGGTGTTCGAGATAAAACTGACAGGACAGCAACTGACTGGAGGTTGGAAATACGGACAATTAGGCTGCAATACATACAGTCCCCCAAACAGGTGGTTTAGAATACATTATCCTACATAGCTATGGTGGATAGCACGGGGGTCTGCTTCCCACCTCACTGGGACCCTGGATAACGAAGCTGCCACTGGGAATGTGGTCAGTTGCTGTGGCAGAGGGAAAGTGAGAAGTGAGTCACATCTGTCACACAGTGCTTTTGCTTGACAATGACACACACCACTGCTGATCACATTTTGGTGGCCAAGAAGTCTTACGGTCATACCTAACAGCTGAACACTCATTCACCAGGCATTGGTAAGAACAGTCAGCTCCGTTGAGCTGTGGAGTGGTC